AGAGCAGTTCGATTTCTGGTTTCTAAGGCCTGAAGTTGGGCCAGCAGCATTGCCGTGGGAGAGTGAAGAGGCCGCATCAAAGCCAAGACCAGGCTGAGCTGGTTTCATCCAGCTGCTCTCCACTAAGCTCCCACAGAGCTGGCAGAGTCAAGAAGCAAGCAAGCCTTCAGAGATAGCCTCCCCAGGAATGGTCTGCTGGCCCTAAGACAGCTGGAAACTCAAGCCCACAAGGATGGCCCCCAAATTCCAAAGCCAAAGGCCTGACAGCCCCACACTGGTAGTTCTTGATCATGGAATAGAAAGAACAAAGAACCAAAGAGGCCTATATCCATTTCTGCTTCTAGAATCACTTCCCAGCCACTGGGACCCCAGGGACTCTAGCCTTCAACTATGGGACACCATGAGACACCTCTAAAACAGAGACATGATGATAGCTTTTAACACTTTATATCTTCCAGTACAATGCAAGCAGCTCCTATGAGTGTCCCACAAACACCAACACCCACATGATCCTTCACACTCAGGCAGTGGCTCAGCCCTCCTTCTGTTTCCTAGGCTCCAATCTCTCTTCTCTGCAGGCTAAGATGTAGCTCTCCTTTGGCCTGGCTCATTTACTTCCCAATTCTCCCCCAGACATCAGCTCTCTCTTCTGGTAGCCACAGCTGTGGCTTCGTTAACTCTTAAGGGAGAATAGAAGGCAAAGAACTGGGCAGGGCAGGATGCTCAATAGCCAGGCCTTTTGTTAGATTCTAAATGAGCATTCACACAGCCAACAGATGACATGAGCTAAGTGTGCAGGAAGCCAGAGGGAGCAGACAGGCAACAGACTCCTGACTGTCAAACTCTAGGGGATGGACCCTGTTAGTGGGTAGGGAATGGAGCACGGGTCCCACTTTGGGAATTACAGTATCCACTCTGAGCTGCTGGGGTGGCTATGTTTGGGAGATATGCTTACTCTCCCAACACCATACGATTACACAGGGTCCCTGATGGCCAAAGGCAGCACATCTTTCGGAATGCTAGCATGACATGGCAGACATATGCCTAGCATGAAGTCAAGAATACCTTCCATTTCACTCTTGCGCTCCTAGTGACCATAGGGGTACACCATTCAAACCCAAGACTGGATAAGGGACGGGGCCTAGCAGAGCCAGTCCAGACATCATCTTCCATGTGCCAAACATATGCCTTTGTGGCATCAGGGGATGAGAAGAACAGAGCATATTCATCCTGCCAAGTGTGAAGTTAGTCAATTGAGAGCTCAAGTTGATGAGGGAAAGGGAGATATTAACTGTTTAGACCCAAAGATGCCAAGAATACCATAATAGCAGGATCTCTTTCTGGTTTCCTCAAGGCAGAGAGGAATACCCACCACTGTACCTTGGTCAGTGATGCCCCTAGTGTTTGATGAAGTCATGGAGGTGGCTAGATTTATCTGAAAGACTACTGGTTCTGGAGTCAGCAGATTTGGGTTCAGATCCCACCTTTGATGTCTATAGTTGGTGAGCAAGTCATGTAACCTCTGCTGGTCTTAGCTTCTTCAGTTACAAAAAGAGGTGGTCAAAATAGATGACCTCTGAGGTCCCTTTCAGCTCTAGATCTTTGATCTCATGATTCTGTGAATGGCCAGAGCTTGTCATGGTGCCTTTCATTAGGTGGGTTTGTACCCAACTTGGGATGTTCATACTGGTGGGGAAACAGAAAATTTCCTCCATCCTGTCCCAAGTCAGGCTCCTAAGAGAGAGGAGCCTCTGGGGTATTGGTTTTGCCTGCTAAAAGCCAGAGTTAGAAGCTCCCTTCCTCTCCTCTCATTCATAAGGCCTAGCTCCTTGTAAGAGAGGGCCCTATCTCTCACCCCAAGTCGAGAAACATGAGATGAAGCTAAGAGTTTGTCCATTGGGGTGTCCATAACTGGCTCCTCCAAGTCTGAGTTTAAAGTCAACCCAGAAGCCGTGAGTTCAAACTTGACCTTTCTGCCTCAGCCTCTTTCCCATACCCAAAGTGAACTCTATCAAAGTCATTACCCTTAGAGAAACTCCTTTTGGCATCAACAACTAATACAATAATTATTGGGCATCCATCACCCTTGAAGTCTTTTACAGATTCTATCCCTAAAATACCACCAAGACCTTGGGCCTGGTGTAGGGTCTGGAATGGGGCCTGAGAGTCCCTTGACTCCATCTCCCACTCACACATACACATGTGCCAGATTAGGGATGTCAAATAAGGAGACGTTCCCCTTCAACATCCTTCAGCTGAAGTCCTTTCCTTAGGATAGGATTTGGAGAAGCTTGCCTGCTTGAAGACTGTGGAGAACAGGGAAGAACATTCCTTTCCCTTCCTTTAAGCTGTTCAGTTCTCTTTCCCCTATCAACCCTTCCAGGACTCCCCTAGCATTTATCCAGAACTGAGTTCCCCATGTTTACCTTAGCTTTAACATTTTCTTTAAGACAATGCCCTCTCCCCAGGGCAGTGAATAATAAATATTAACAGCATATTTGCTGGACTTCAAACCAGTTGACCCATGACAGTCCTCCATTGGCCAACCCAACAGAAATCCAACCCATACCATTTTCCTAGAAACCAACTCCTGAGTTAGATCCCCAGCTGAGTGCTACCAGGACTGACTTGGGAGAAAGGGGTCTTTGATTTCTGACCAAGCAGAGCCCTGAAGCTATGTTCCCCTCCCTGTCATAGTTCATGTTCCTGCCTCATCTCCCCACTGCTCACTCTACAGGACATTCAGCTGTGAAGCTTAGGTGAAAAAAAATCATGACAAATGTCCCAGTCCCCTTTCCATCACCAACTCTTCCAGCAGCATCCTCAGCCTTCCAACTTTAAAAGGATCCTTTACCCCGACTCGAAACATCCAACTCCTCCCTTTACAACTGGATATTCTTCCCTCCCTGGCTGCTTTATTGGCTTTTTTTTTTCATTTTCAAAGCAGTAAACAGCATTGTCTGGATATAAAGAACCTACATAATAGTATCTCTCCCAGCAGCTTTCCTACAAATACACACATCCCCACATCCCCACATGTGGGGAGCAAACTGAAAGTCATCTCAGCTGCTTCCAAGGGCTGACATTGAGCTGCCCAGGGGTCCATTCTCTCCTGCCCCCTGGACAATGCAATACTCCCACTCTTCAGCCTTGGACCAAGGTTTGAAGCCCGAATCATCCCCCTTGCCCAAGATGGCCCCAAATCTGAGTTCCTCTGAGGATCCAAGCAATTCAGGAGCCCCTTTCTATACCCCCTCACCAAATCCTGAGAATCCTGTGACATGACAGGAGGGAGGGGCAGAGAAGAGAAACCATGGAGCAACCAGCAAGTTCCATCCATTCTGCTTGTCCTGCCCCCTCCCCTTCTTCCCTCCCTGTCAACCTTGTTGTTTTTTCTTTTCATTTCAAGCTGGGTTTGGAAGGGGATATGGGAGTGGGTGGATAGAACACAGATATGGGTCAATCTCATTTCCTGGGGCAGGAGTCAGGGACAATTCCTTGGCTATGCTATTCCTTAGGTCTGTGAACAGCTAGACTACATGTGTGGAGGAACCATTAGCCAAAGAAGGTGACAAGGCTTGGCTTTTAAGAGAGCAGAGCTGCAATTCTTTCCTGGCTTTGCAGCAATTACACTGTGACCAAGCAGAAGAGAACCTCTAGGAAGGATGAGACCCAAAGCATCTTGCCCACTTACTGATCTGGTTCAACATTGACTGAAAAACAACTCCCCATATTGCCCCCCAAATACCCTCTGTGACTTCAGTCCAAATCCTTCTTGGATTTGCTATCAGGAAAAAGATTTCCACCCATGTATGGAGTTCCAGGATCTGAGTAGTGAGAAGTAATTTCCCTAAATGATCACATTTCTATTTTCATCATGATGATAAGAATTGGAGTTCACCTCACCAGATCAGATCCAAAAATAAGAAGCCAATTGAGAAGATAGGCTCCATTGCTCTTGCCCTCTCTCTCTTTCTCCAAACCCCCCCCTCTCTCTCTCTCACACACACACACACACACACACACACACAAACTGTTTGAAGAAAGGGAAAAGGCCACTGTGCCCCCCAGATATGGGCCAGAAGTGTCTGATTCAGATAAAGCTAAACCAGGCAAATACCACTCAAAGTTCAATACTCCAAATAAACAGATTGAGGATGTCCAAATGAAAATTACACACACACACACACACACACACACACACACACACACACACACACACACACCCTCCCCTTTCCCCTTCTACCTCCACTCCCAGTCTCAGAGTTCTCTGAAAAGGATCTCAAAACCAAAATAGTAGAAAGGCAGATAATTTGTGGGTACCCTGAAGAGTCCTGTGGGAAAAGAAGGTGAGGTGGAAACGTGGGGACATGGATCAGGAGGTAGAGAGGGTAAAGATCTATGCATCTGTGACCAAAGAATGACACCCTATCCACATCTGAAGTCTTCAAAAGCCTGGAGAGCTGAAAACTTGTCTGCTTGTCATTGTCGGGCTTTTTTTTCTGCTTCTTTCATCCCCCAAAAAGGAAACAGTTAAACATTGAGGCTCATCTAGAGCTGCTAGAAGTCTGGCTCCTGCCCTCCTAGCTTAAGCAGCCACTGCTGCTGCTGCTGTTGCTACCGCTGAGGAATTAAATAAACCTCATTCACTTTATCCTACTTAAGCATGGCCAAACTGTTGCTATTTAGTGGGGGCAGAAAATTCGATTCTCTTCCTTGGAATGATAATGAGGGTGGGGGCGAGGGCAGAGGGCAGGCAGGGGTGCTGTAAAAGACGGAATCACAATCTGAGCTGGGAAAAACCAAGTAAATAACAAGATCATTCACAGCCCGGGCTGGAGTCACCTGGAAATACGCAAACTGCGTTAGCATCTTCCCTGGCAAAACACACACACACACACACACACACACATACACACACCACTGTGAACTGTAAGTCGGGGGTTGCGGGGGGAGAGGGAGAGAGAGAGCTAGGCGAGAGGACCGGGGTACTGACTTACATGGAAGTGATATTCCTTGAGATGTCCGTGATATTGATGCTGGCGTTGCCATTGCTGTTCCCTGAATCCTGCCCTTCCAAGAGAGGGAAGAGATTCCCATCATCGGGATTCTTGCAATTGATCTCTGTCTTACTGCAGACACAGTTCGCAGGGCAAGCCAGCACCGAACCCAGATAGTCCAGCCAGAAGCTTCCCAGCAAAAAAATCCTCCAGAAACTGCACTTGGTAGGGCAAAGAGAGACATCCATCTCCGATTGCTGCTTCTAAAAAAGAGGAGGAGGAGGAGCAGAGAGGAGGGGGGGGAGAAGGGGGGAAGGAAACAAAGACAGTGAGGGAGGGGGAAGGGAGGGGGAGGGGGGGGACTCTGCCTTTGGAACGCCGAGTGATCAGATGCAAAATCCTCCAGCGGATGGAACCATCGTGGCCGCCGGGAAGATACGAGGCAATTCTTCTACAGTAGCGGTCTGAAATGCATGGTGGCTAGGTCTCCTTTGCTGCCTTGTTGATTCCAGGTTGGTAATCAAGCCGCTCTCTCTGACTCCGATACTTGTGAGGATTGCAACAGAAGATGGGGAGGCAAAAAAAAAAATGGTGCTAAAGTCACCAAGTCCCACCTACTGGGCAGAATTAAAACTGACACACCTGCAAAACACACACACACATACACATACACACACGCATACACACACACACGCTGGGAGCCGAGGCAGAGGATGCAGTCCGAGCCGCAGCAGCAGCAGCAACAGCGAATGCCTTGCAGCGCGCCAGCAGAAATGGACAAGTGCTGCCTTCCGAAAGGGATGGGTTATCGGACCGTCTTCCTCATCTCCCTCCCTCTTTCCCTCCCTCTCTCCCCCCCCACTCCACCCCCAGTTACCCGCCTTCTCCTCCTCTGCCGGGAGCAGCAAAAGAACGGAATCTCCCCCCACCCCTCCCCAGTTCCCCACGCCCCTCTCTCGGTCAGTCCTCCCCCTCTCCTCTCTTCTCTCCCCTCCCCTCCCCTCCTCTCTCTTCTCTCTTCTCCTTTCCTCTCCTCTCCTCTCCTTTCCACTCCTTTTCTCTCCTCTCTTTTCCTCTCCTTTTCTCTCCTCTCCTCTTCTTTACTCTCCCCACCCACCCACTCACTCTTCGCTTCTCTCCACCACCACTACCACCACCACCACTATCAGCAGCAGCAGCTGCGGCGGCGGCGGCGGCGGCTTCTCAGCTGAAGACCGAAGCCTTAGAGAAACAGAAACGGGATGGGGGAAAAGTTCCAGTTGGAATTGCAATGGTTGGGGCTGATGGGGAGTTAGGAGAGGTTGGGAGGAGGGAAGAGGGAGAAGGGCTCCATGGGTTTCACTTTTTGGCCCTGGCGCACCGAAATTTTGCTGCAATCAGGACCAAAAGAAGGAAGTAAAATTAACAGGGACGCAGATGCAAAAGGCTTCCGGGGGGGGGGGCGGGAAGGCCGAGAGTGGGGGGAAATCGTGCTCTTTAGTTGTATAGACCAGAGTATTGAGGAGTGGAAAGTGGCGGGCAAGGAGGAAGCCAGGAGCCAGCGAAAGGACTTGTTTAGAACGAGATGAGTTGTTATTACTATTAATAATAACATTGTCCACAATAAAGAGGGTCTTGTCGCTGGAATGGGCAAGAGGACAGTGCCTTGTGGCTGGTTGACTGGCTGGCGGTGTGCTTGGGGGCTCCCAGTCGGGAAAGGGGACTTCTCTAGCCCCCAGATCTTCCTTTGCTGTGTGAATAGTCCTCGATCATACGTGGACAGTAATGAAGAAAGAAGGAAGGAAGGAAGAAGCGAGTGCTGAAAAGACTGCGCTCCGAGGGCAGATATGGCATCGGGAGAGCCGTGTGTGAGATGAACAGCAGAGCGAATTGAGATGCATAGCGCATTTTTTGGCAAGCACAAACCCCTCACCAGATCAGAGAGCCCTATTTGATTTGCTCGGCTTTTCCGTAGCGTTGTGCTTGGTGCCTGGGCGAAGAGGTTGTTTTCCCTACCCACATTTTGGGGTCTGTTCCTAGAATGCCCCTATCCCAAATACACGCACAATTTTTCTCCAGACACACCTTCCTGAGTGATGCCTTCTGACTTCTCCCAAAATCTAGATTTCTTCGTGAAGGGGTGGGGAGTGGAAGAGGGTCCCTTCTTCTTGTTAAGTAGGGAAATATTTTTTGTCGTTGTTTTGAACACCAGGGAAGTGGCTGGCATCTGTTTGCAGAGGGAAAATAGAGCAATGGTATTACCGGGAGCGAGAGAGGTTAGGGGAGTTGCAGCAGACAACACACTATTTACACTCGGGGGAAAAGCAACCTCTTCTTCCACTTAAGAAAAGGGAAAGTAGGAGAAGCAAAATGAACTGGATTCAACTGGCTACAATGTCTGGATGTATTTTTCTCCCCCTCTGGTGGATTCCAATGCTGGTCATGCAGCTTGCCGGCAGGAGGGGGGAAGGGGTGTGGAGTCCTACCAGCCAAACCCCAAGGCAGACCCACAGCATCAGAGGCTCTGAGAGTGGCACTGTCGCAGGGAGCAAACTTGGAAGGAAAAGGGAACTGAGAACATGACTATAAAAGGCACTTTCTTGGCTGCTTGTCATGTTCTCTATCCTCCCTCCCCCTCAGTGAGGACTTTATCCCTTGTCCCTAACCCTGTGCCTGTGATGTCACACTGGGTTGCTTGCTGTGGCCTTCATGGCCCTGGTCACCCATCTTTTATTTTTGCTTCGCACCAGCAGGAGGCGACAATGAGTGGATCCTCGTTAAAATCTGAAACCAATTCAATGTGAAGACCCCATACCTGGCATTTATGCAGAGCTGGAGTAATCTCAGCGTGTTCTCATGCGATGTTCAACATACACTGTGAATTTAGAACATTCTTTTCTGGAAAGAGAAACTGAGGCACGGTTGCATGTTGAATTTTTTCCAGTTGTGCGAGATAGCAACAGACACGTATCTGGGAACCATCTTCTACCAGCTATATGTCAATATTTGAGAGTATAACCCAAATGATGAATGTAAATCAAATCTAAGTTTAGCATCAGTTTTAGTCTCCTTCACTCTCTAATTCAGCCTTGAAATAAAATGGTTGTTGGAAATGGCAGGGGGAGCACTTCTAAAAATTATGATTTTTTAACATTGCCAGAGCAGATGGGGGAGTGCCTGGATGTTAGAACAAAATAGAAACCTTAAAAGAGCCTTTGGAGAGTTGGTGAAAATACCAGCTCAGAATCAAGGGAACACAATTTTTTAACTGAAATAGAAAATGGTATAGAGGATGTTGTATTTATGCTTGAGCTTAGACTCAACCCAGAGTAAGAGCTTTAAAGTAGAAAGGAAACCATAAGAAAACTGGCATTGGAGTCTGGAGAGTCAGAGTCTAGTCCCAGCTTGTCACTAACTAGCTACAGGACCTTGGCAAGTTACATTTTCTCTAAGCCTCAGTTTCCTCCTGTAAGAAATGTGGTCTTGATGATCTCTAAAGTCCCTTCCAGCTTTAAAATGCTATGACTCTATATGATCTTGGAGCCAAAGAAATGAACTGAGAGTAGGTTACTGTTCCTATCGAGTAAAGAGAAATCAAGCAGGGACCAGGGACCCAGAATCAAATAGAGCTGTGAAGAGAATAAAGATGAGTGCCCCACTTTTATCACCCAGAGAAATGCTTATAATCCTATGGCTCTGGGGATGGCCAGATATTTGGAATGGAAAAAGGAGAAAGGTCTCAGCAGATGCCCTTGCATAATTAGGTGGGAAAATCTGGGTCAAGGGATCCAGAGTAAAAACAGGTTTGGGATGCTACCCCCTGGGACTTGGCAGCTTTCCACGTCTGAATTTACCAAGTCAGCCCCAAAGGATTAAATCTCCATTGACAAAAGGAAACTCCCTCTCATCACGTCTATTTCCCATCCTTTAAATTCCACCAGATTCTGGAGAGAATGAAGTCTGAGTTCAACATTCCCTATAGTTTTGAAGGAACAATTCAATGTCATTTCTATTCCTTGTTGACAAATAGGTTCTTAGGAAAATGTCTTTAAAAGAAGGAGGGGGAAAAAAACTATTCCAATGTATCCCTTTGTTTCAATAGGAGGCAAGAGAAGACCCAAATTTCTTGAAAGGAAAAGAAAGCTTAAGAGTCCCTTTAAGACAGAGCAGGTAGCATCTGATCCTAAGGGAAGGAGAGATCCTCCCAAATAAGATTTTGTGTTCACCAAACCAACCTGAGTAAAGAACTGCCTCTCAGGTGACACTGCCCTGATTTTTTCCTTATCTAAAAAAGTTGGCTACAGAACCACAAAATTTCAGAGTTGGAAGACAATTTAATATAACCTGTACTTAAAGAAATCCATACCTTAATGTGCCCCATGAATGGTCATCCAGCCTCTGAAGACCTCCAACAAGAGTAATCTACCAATTCTAAAGGCAACCCATTCCACTTTAGAACAGCTCTAGTTGTTAGGAAGTTTTTCCCAACATCAAACTCAAATTTGTCTGTTTACAATTGCCACCCAATGCTCCTGGCTTTGACTGCTGGGACCAAACAGGAGAAATCGAATTCATCTTCCACAAGGTAGCCCTTCAAAGATTTAGACACAGCTATCTTGTTTCCACTAAACCTTCTCTTCTCCAGACCAGACATCCTCAGTTCTTTCAATGACTCCTATTATTATGCAAAAAAATTATTACTTGAGTCATCACAATAAGATTTGTAGATTTGTGAAATTTTCATGTAAAGCCAGGAACAGTTCTCTCCGTGTCGCTTGTCCTGTTTAGGCCCCTTGTAGAAACAGGCAAAATTGTGGCCAGGAATTCACTGCTTGCTGGTGCCATCTTAATCCCCACAGATGAGTGTCTATCCATCCTTTCAGCCTACATCTGAGAAAGAGGGTGGTATAATGAAAAGAGCAACGGGTTTGGAGTAAGAAGACTTGGGTTCCGATCCCATACCTATTTAATATGTATATAAATTTGGACAAGTCCCTTAAGTTTTCTCTTCCCAGTTTCCTATAAATCTATGATCCTACAATATACCTGTACAGTCTAGTTCCTGCTCCCATCAACACACCAATATCAAGTCAGGTGAGCAATCCATTTAATTGAATGGAGATTTCAGTATGGTATAGTGGATGCCTTAGAGTGAGACCTGAATTTAAGTTCACACCCTGCCATTTAATAACTAAATGACCTGGGACAGGTCACTTTATCTCACTGACCCTTAGTTTCCTCCTCTGTAAAATAGGCTAAATAATATCTAAATTTGCTTTTCTTTCTCTAACATTCTGACTCTATGAACTCCATGGCTATGAATCAATTACAAACACCAAAGGCTATGTTGTAATTGTAAAATTGTAAAAAATGTAAAAAATCCTACCACATTTCTGCCCAGCAGCAGAAATATTACCCATAAAGCATGAAATTCTAAGAAAAGGAAGCAGGGATAAGAGTGAAGGGATTCTGAGATCTCAAAGCAAAGCTACTCCCAAAAATATTATGGGGACCAAAACAAAGGACTCAGGGTAAGCACATATGCCTGCCTTTTGGCAGCCACTGGGGATCTGCTCTGGGAAACCATAAAGTGGTTTTGGTGCCATATCACAGCTCTGTCCTATGGCCAAACATAGGAAAGCAGAGGGAGACAGGTACACTTGGCTACTCAAACGCAGGAAGAAATTGAGTGATTTGGGCAATTGTTCATGGTAAATATATATCAGGAAAATAGACTCCTTTACAGAAATTGCAGGGTATGCTGCAGAATCCTGGAGACAAGAGCATGAGAAATCCAGCAGCCAAGTGGCCCCTGAGATGAGGTAAAGTTTCCAAAATGGAAACACTGACTCAGAGGACTGTCCCGAAGTTCACAGGTCCAAGACCTGGATATTGTGACAAAGTCTTTTTTCCATATTCTTTCAAGACTAGGCATTCTAGATTTCCCTACTCTTTGGACTCCATGTCCCCTCGAAAACCCCATGTGTCTCAGGTCAATGTTCTTGTCCAGAAGTGGTGACTTTGATCTGCACCCTTAATTTTGTATTGCCCCCTTGAGTTCTCCACTTCTAATAAGTGCATGACTCGGCTTTCTTTCCCCCCTACACACACACACACACACACACACAACCCTATTCCTCCAGATTTAAGATCCATTCTCATAAGCCAAAAATAGAGTATTCTTGTACATCTTAACACCAAGAGCTATGGGTCTCAGGTCACACAGAAGGCTTCTGGACTGTGGAGCTATGTGGTTAAAGCCATTTATTTTACTAGCTATAGTACCTATAGCAAGTACCTATGGCAAATCACTTCATCTTGCTGACCTTCTACAGTTGGGCTAGACAATCTCTACATTTCCTTTTATCTCTAACATTCTGAGTCTATGAACTTCACAGAGTTTCAAATCATCAGCTATCAATAAATTATATAAAGTTGCCTCAACTTCCCAAGCTGTTGTAAATTGTCTTCCTAAGGGGACTGCCTCTAGCTTTGCACTCCACTGTTCTAGCTACCCAGAGACTATATTCCCTCTGACAAATTTCTGCCAGACCTGGGGGGAATGGGAGAGGTTTTCACTCCAGCCACTCTAAATGTTCCTCTTATTCCAGAAGGAAAATACAGAGTAGATGCAGACTACCATATTTAGAGTCACCAGGCACCTGCTGACTATTGGGGGGAAAACCTCCATGGGCTGGGAGCTGGTTTCTCTGTTTCTACAGAAGGACAGCTCCTGAAGGCATCACCACTCCACCCCCTTGCTCCAGGGTGGGGTCTGGCTTCAGCCTTGACTCAGAGAGGGGGAGAGCTCCATGTTGAGTCACTAGTAAGCATGAGCAATTGAAATGGATAAAGAATCAAAAAGCAAAGCAGCCACACAGCCCTGTGCTGTCACTGGAGCACATTTGTTTCCCCCGGGGTCTACCTGAGCTAACCAGTTCACAGGAGTATCAAAGAGGAATGCAGATGAAGCCCAAACCCCTGATGCCCAGGAACAGGTTCTGTTTTGGTATTTGATCCAACAACATGGCCATTCTCTCTTTGCAAGTGAGAAAGCTTTGAAGACTCCTACAAGTGAGTGAGCTTTGTAGTGTGGCTCCAAGAACTGAGGAAGCAAGCAATCTGTGTTCTTCCCACCTTAGCCTCAGCCAGAGTGCTCAAATTCCAGTTCAGGAATGTGACCTCCTCACGGAGATTAGAAAGCGTTAATGCCTTGGTAGCCAGAATGTTGGGAAGGGCACCTGATATAGACCACTTGAAAGAAACATTGGAGAAAGGCAGGTTTTTAATAAGACACCTTTCCATTGCAGAGATTCTTATAAAGCTCCTCCCAGAAAATAGAATCTCCATCCCTTCTTTTAGGAACAACATGGCACAGTATAAAAGTATTGTGGTTCTCAAGTCAGAGGTCCTGGGAAAAAATCCTACCACAGGTGCATACCCATATATGTAGGAATTTAGACATGTCATTCAAGCCTCCCTGGGCCTCAGTTTCTTCATCTGTAAAAATGAAAGGGTAGACATGGTTACATCATCATCATCATCATCATCATAGCTAATGTTATATAGTATTTTAAGGTTTGCAAAGTGCTTTACATATATTATCTCATTTGACTCTTAAAGTAGCCCAGTGAGGTAGGTGATATTATCACACATATACACCCATTTTCCAAAAGGAAACTGAGGCTGAGAGGTTAAGTGACTTTCCCAGAGCGACTCCACTGAAAAGTTGTCAGAGACAGCATTTCAACATAACAGGTCTATGTCTATGATCCTATGAACCTCTCAATAGAATGTAAGTTTCTCAAGGGCAAGAACTGTTTCACACATAGTGATGAAATCATCATCTCATGAATCCTCCCATTCCATAAATCAATAATTGATTTTTAAAAATTTCTTCCTCATGATAACTAAAATATGCCTCTATATAATTTCCAATAAAAGATAATGACTGATCTGTGTTGTTTTGGTTGTTGGATATTTGCAATGTTTTGCACATAGTAGGTACTTCATAAATCTTTGTTTTGTTTAAGCATTTCCACTCTGAATTTATTAGACAGAGAGCACAACCCTGGAGTAAGCCTCAAGTGTCTCAGATGCAGAAGAGTCAACCTCCCATATCCCACATCCTAGCAATGGACACTGAGCCCCAACAAGATTCTCCTTAGATAAGCCTTGTTTGGGTGAGCTCTTAGAGAGAGCCCAGTGTACTAACTCAACAGGCAGTGCCTGGGTACACATGAGATCCCTTTCTGTCTGTTCTTGATTCTCCTGCAGCCCTTGGTGCCCATTCCAAGCTCATACTGGAAGCACAATCATTGTCTCCATCTGCTCACCCTCTCTTTACCCTAGTGAATGTCATTTTCCATGCTTGAAACCCACTTAGAGACAGAAAATGAAAATCAGAACTGGAAGAGACTTAAGATGTCATCTCATTCACCCTCTTTATTCTGCATAATGAAACTAAAGTCCAGGGAGGTCATATGGCTAGTTAGTAACAAAACTGAGGCAGGAACTAAGGTATCCTCCACTCCATTCCAGTGTACTCTCCATTATACCACATCATCACCCCCTCTCTGAAGTCTCCTACCACATCCCCACTGCCCATGCCCAATTCAGCCTACTCGACACTTGGATTCAAAGTGCTCCATCAGTCCACCCCTGCCTTTATCACCTCCTACCTCTCCCCCTCTCTCCCACCTGTTCCCTTGGCTGTAAAATTAAGCCCTTTTCTCCTTGCCAGTTGTTACTTTTTCTCCTATCCCCAATTCTGTGCCTTCTGCCACAATTCCACATGCATATAACCACCTCCTCCTTCTATCCCTTCTTTCAAAGCCCTCCTCAAAAGCCACCTACTCCAGGAGAGCCTAACCTAATTAAATGATGGGGATGAAAATGCCCTCCTTCCTGAAATCATCTTTCAAACCAGCACTCCCTTCCCAGGCTGGTGACATCACCAAATGCATAGTTCAACCTAATCTAAGATTCATTGCCTCATAGACATTGACTGGTATCATGAAAATAAACTTGTAAGTCAGAATATTTGAAGTCTAGTTCAGCTCTTCTATAGCCAGTTGTATCGGCATGGGCAGTTTACTTAACCTTCTTGAGGTGCAATGCTGTAAGGTTTTTTTTTCCTAGCTGTAAAATTATGTTCCCGTGTTATTATCAACAAGAGGGCATCCAAGGCTTCTGTATATCCTCTTTAGTATCTAGCACAATGTTGTTCTATATTTATCATTCATAATTTTGAGTCTTGGAGTAGGGAAAGAATTGAAGTGGCCTTCTTTGTTCACATCCAAGGACTGACTCAAGACAAACCAGATGTGCTCAATTCTATTTCCTTCCACAAATCAGCACCATGGATGGCTCACCCTGTCCCACCTAGACCTTCATCAACTAGGAGAGAAAATGAACTTTCTTCTCTAATGTTCTTCCCTAGGGCTCATCCTGGTTCCTCTTTTTTTTAAAAAAACAGATATCAACAGCCCAGGAAGACAGGGAGACAAGGAACTATATCTACATGCACAGGCCCAGAGAACAGGAGACAAAATATTGGCCGAGATAAGTGAAAATCACAGCAAGAAATCACCAAATCTGCTCTAATTTTCACTGACACAAGCATTTACTACAGAGCCTGCACATGCACATTTAAGTAGGTATTAAGAGGAAATGGAAAACCAACAAATTAAAGTCTCATTTGCTGAGACACAGGCAAAGGAATTTGGAAAAGTGTTATGTTGAAGAGGAAGCTGTCTTTGTCTTTGGGAATCAAAAATGATGGCTGCTCACATGCTGCTTTCTTCTCAGTCCTTCTAGCTCATAGGACCAGATGTACTCTTTGGATGTTACTTATAAGTAGGACTGGATGCTGAGAAAGCATAAACCCAGCCTGGGAAGTCTGAAAACTACATGAAACATGGAAAGGAAGGGTCACAGGATTATAGATTTAGAGCTGGAAAGGACCTTAGAAACCATTAAGTCTCTCTCATTTTACAGATGAGGAAACTAAGGCAAAAAGAGGTTAAGTGGCTTATCCAAAGTCACACAGCTAGTGTCAGAGTAATAATTTGGGCCCATGTTTTCTTGATTCTGTGTCCAGTGCCCTATCCCCTATAACAGCTTCACACTCTATGTAGGAATTCCTTCTACAGAAACCCTGATAGTCATTTGGCTTCCACTTTTCTTCCAGCAATAAGCTCACTACTTCATGAAGCAGCCCGTTCTATTTTGGACAGCTCTAATTAACAAAACTATCTGTCTTTAACTGAAAAAAAAAAATGCTGCTTCCATGTAATTTCCAATAAATGGTCCTACTTCTGTTCAGTGAAACCACAGAAAATGTCTACTGCTTTTTCCATGTGATGGTTCTTCATAAATTTGAAGACATCTCACGTTCCTTATAATTCTTTTCTTCTCCAGGCTAAATATCTTTAGTTACATCCTTCACCCTTTCCTCCTTTGACAGTTTCCAGGCCCTTGACCATCCTGGCTACCTTTCCCTGGATATGCTTCAATTTTTCAATGTTCCTCTAAAGTGTAGTGCCTAGAACTGAATACATTGCCCAAACATGGTCTGACTAGTATAGAATACACTGAGACTACTTCTTTCCTTCATTCGGACACCATAATTCTATTTTTACAACCTGAGACTCCATTAGTTTATTGGCAGCTACATCACAGTGTTCACTCAATAAAGTTAAGGTTGGATGCCAGGTAATCTACCTAACGACTTGTGAGATGTTGCTTTTTAAAACTTTTCCATTGTAAAGAAGAAAGAACAGTGGCTTAAGCCCCTGGAAACTTGGCTACAGGGCTACTATCATGTGAATTGACCTGGTCTTCTTCATGGAGTTAACCCTCAATCCAATTGAAACATACACTGAACATTGCCTTTGAAGGAGACAAGCATTTTTCATTAACTCTCCTCAGGATTATTTCTAGGAGACTCCCCGCTTTTTCCCTGTCAAACTGGTTTCTCTACCATTCTCACATATTGTTGTTGTTTAGTCTTTTTCATCTTTCCAACTCTTCATGACCCCATTTGGGGTTTTCTTGGCAAAGATCCTTCTCCAGCTCATTTTACAGATGAGGAACTGAGGCAAACAGGGTTAAGTGACTTGCCCAGGGTCACCCACCTAGTAAGTGTTTGAGGCCAGATTTGAACTAAGGGAAATGTATCTTGTGACTCCAGGCCTGGCATTCTGTCCACTGTATCGCCTAGCTGCCTCAACTCTTATGTGAGCCCCTATTATTTCTGAATCCATTAAATCCCTTCCTTCCTACTATCCCCTATTCCTATTATTGCAACTTCCTCTGGCTTCTCCTCTCCTGTCTTTATGCATTTTGTCTCTGATTTCTATTCTTTCTGGAAAAAGCATTTCCCCCCAGTCTAGGTCCCTAAAACCCTGAAGTGTGAAGAACCTCAGGGCACCAAATCTTGAACCACATAAGCCACGATCAACGCAAACCAAGAAATTCAAATCCCTCCAATATAACTAGAGCTATTGCTTTCTAAAGTCCCCTGGTTCCCATGCAGTGTCTTCAGCTATACGAAAACAAAAGAAGAGCTTGGCTATGAATAATTTCATGAAATTAAACATAGTACTAGGATGTAGGCATAGAAATTTATATGTTCAAAGCTTCACAGACTTGGAACTAGAAGGGACTTAAAAGGTTATCTAGTCCAACCTCCCCCCACTTTTAATAGACGAGGAAGCAGGCCTGGAGGGGCTAAATGACTTGCCCAAAGTCACAAGGTTTGACAATTTTGACAGTTAAATTGTGAACTCAGATTTAGTACTCTCTCCCCACACAACACACACAGGCATTCACACAAATATTCACACAAACCTCTTCCATAGACATGCCTTGAAGCACCCAGCATGACATAAGCATATCCACTTATATTCCTGCCCCCCTGTCCTTGGCCCTACTGCACTGGCCCCAGCAAGATTCTTGAGTCTTACCTTGGAGTAGTGCTAGTCCAATTCCTTGCACATAATTGGATAATTACTGATTGATTGATTGTTGGATTAGAATTAGACCAGAGTCATAGCCCTGAGTCATTTCTCCAGTCCAAAACCCTTATATCCTGCCCCTAACTATGGCTAGGCATTGAGGCCAAAGTCAGTTTTCCTCTCTTAGTTGATTTCCCCAAACAAGAAAAATGCTGTTATAGGGCTATAGAGTAATGCAAGCTTGTCAGTCAAAACAGGGAACAAAGTGAGAGTATGTGGGTGTCGTAGGATATTCTAGCATACAACCACTATGGAGATGAAACTCAGAATGAAGTCTACTGAGACTGGACTGAGGCATCTTCTTCCTACAAGAATGAAAGTACGTTTTATCTGGGGGGTCTTAAGAGAAGCTAATGACACCCAAGTCCAGTCTCAGAATGGCCCCAGTATGGCTCCAGCATCTGTAGCATGTGTATCTTACAGCTCTTCAGCTTGGGACAGACTAAAAAAGGTGTATAGACTCAAACCAAGATAAGCTGA